GTCACACAGCCCAGCTTGTTTTCTGGCTAATCATTTACAAAACCATGTGTGCTGCTTAGCATTTACACCTGAAATCAAAGCCTCAAATGACTTGCCAGGTTGAGCGAAAGAACCAACAGGCCCAGGCCTCAGCCTCCGGCGCCAATCTAGGTCAATGAGAACAGAAATGCTATAATAATGGGGTTGTGGGTGGAGTTCAATCCCACTATCCAACAAAAAAGAGAAAATATTGGACTTCAACTTTTTTTAATAATTGAATAGTTGGATTGAACCCCCTCATCAAAATCCCCCTCATTTTAGAAGCTCCCGAGCCAATGAGAATGCTCTTTACACATAATTTTATTCTTGGGGGTTTTTTTGGGGGTAAATAAAAATTTTATAACCGAAAAAGGAAAACAAAAACACAAAGAAAGAACAGAGGTTGATTTGCCGCTGCAAACAGCATTGATTATGGAAGATACGAGGTATGAGCGGTAGTCATACGACCACGATGAACAAGTGGAGAGGTGATGCTTAAGTTGAAATAAAATGCACAGACGGTTCTACCATTCCCGGGGGAAAAGAATCAACAGGCAGTACCCATCCATTATTTGGCAATGCATAGAAGGACATCCTTACAAGATCCTTAGTGTTCCAAAAGGTACCCCACCCTGTGTCTAAATTATCACAGAGAATCTATCTCAGATGTTGCAAAAGCAACAACACCAAAAAAGAAAAAGAAACTAAGGCCAATCAACCAAACAAAAACAAAAGGCTTCCAATTTTGAAAGTTAAGGTTGCAGCGTATACTGGATATTGTCTCTCCACCTCCCCTGAATTTATTCCATGGAATAGTTTCAGGCTGCAAATCAGTGATGGTCATGGTCATGGTCATCACTGTGGTCTGGAGATCCACCAGGTCCTACCACTTCAAGCTGTTAAGAATCAAATGAAATAGATTAGGTCAATTCTGCACAGCTGAAAGCAAATGGGCACGTACAATGCAAAATGATATAAAGCATTATGATCCAACATTTTAAGATCATATAAATAAATATATCTCAAGTCTGAACTCCAATAGGATATGACTGGAAGCATTTCGTCTGCAACCTGTGTTGCATGAAGGTCATGGACCAAAATACTACTCCAGTTATGCCAACCATGGTAGATATGAGCCTACGAGGTTCAACTTAAGGAGGGCACTGGGCTCGACAATTCTTCTGTATCTAGGGCTACCATCTCCATGACATCAGCTGTACATGGAATTCCAGTCCCCAGACCCATCTTGCACATGCATGTGTCATCATGTAAATCCACATCCCATTGGATCTTAATCCAAATAGACATAAAATTCCATATCTTGATATGGATTCACTTCCATCTAGTCCAGATCAGGGAGCCGTAATAAATCATCGCATCAAATTAAGCCTCCACTTACCACAAAGTACTGTGAGCAGACTGGACATTCATGCGGCTCGTCTTTGGTCAGCCAAAACCACACAACATCATGCTCATCCTCTGCAATTAAAATACCAACAAAAAGAAGCAAAAACTGATATCAATTTAATTTAGAAGAAATTTCTACACATGAATCAGTGAACAAGCATACATCTACATGCACAAAGAAAAAGAGAAGGAGAAGATAAGAAGTACCCACCGCCTTCACCACCAGGGCATCCAACTATTCTCCTGTCGTAATAGGACTTGATAACTGCAGGTGCTTCCTAAAGGCCAAAAATACATACATAAGAATTTCATTTGTTTCTTTTTTCGTTTATAACAAAATTAGGAGCAAGCATACACATGAAATCATTAGGGGCATTGGTAAAAACCAAAAGCAAATTCATCCTTCTCCCTCACTGAAAGTAGGTTAAGAACATCACAATTACCAATCTAAAGATAGGGATGCAATTTGATTTATTTCAGTTTCCATCCACCAAGAACCAAAACCAGATTATTATTTTTTTTCCATTTTTCTTCAGACTAGAACAATTCTCAATTTCTCACCATAGAACTAGACAAATGGCTAAGGAACCAAGCCAGCAAAACCAACATAATAGCAACTGGTGTAACAATTCTCACACTTCATATCACAAATGGAAAAAGTTGCATCAATACCAAAACAAAGGTCAAGATAATAGACAACAGAACCACTCAAAACCAAACAATCAATAGAGCATAAAAGGGTCGCACATGCTTTAATAAAATCGCAACCTGTAAAACAGCACATCAAAGCCAAACAATCATTTCTTCTGGTATTCAAAGGTTGTCAGGATTTCGTGCATCCCAAACAAGTTTGAAAAAACTCATTGCACAATACAACCCAACTTTTTTTTTTGGGATACCCAGAAATCTACCAATCCGCTTCGCAGACACAGCTCTGAAACTGGGGCCTCACGCTGAACCCCACAATCTTCAGGAGACAGGAAACACTAGCACATAGCTACACAGGTATATTTGAGGGCTTTGAACCTCAGACCACATGGGAGCAAACCATGGGCCTGACCATTCCAACTAAACCCATGTTGGTGTCCTAACTTATCTTATAATTACAACACTCTTCTTTGCATGAAGATATTTTGCAAACAACTACCTACATCCAGATAACAAAATCCTAGAACACTCATTTGCATGGTTCCCCAAACCAGGCTAGACCAGCCAGTCCGGTCCAACCTCATCTTGTTCAGATTCAGCTCTAAAACTGGAATTGAAGTAAAATGACTTCTTTCCTTGTACTTATCTAAAAAAATGCTTTAAATTGTAGATTTTGAACTTTGAACCGAAACTCTATTGGTCCATTTAAGCCACTGCCATATTTAATGCTCTGTGGTTCCAGTTTTTAACTTTTCAAATTATCTCCTTAATTCAACCCACAGCTATGTACATTGTACATGACAATGTTTTGTTATTTACAAAAGTAAATAAATTAATATGTAGAGACAATTCCAATACAAATCATGAAAATTAACACTAACAAATATGCTTCTCTAATTTTATTTTATTTTTCTAATAAAAGAGTATGCTTAAATTAAAAACACCAAGTATTAAATTAATTTTCATAAAATTAAAGTACCTTCCTTTTCCCAAAGTAGCATCTAGCCTCTCTATCTTGCAGTTTCATGACTTGCTAGTCAGAAAATATGCTAGAATGCTCAATTGGGTGAAATGGTTTAATTAGATTGTGCTACTTTGAAATCCCATGGTATTTTTTGTTCCAGTTTTCAGTACATTGTACATTTGAAGGAAGTGTCAAGCACAACCAATATACAAATAACAACTCTATAAACGTCATAGAACCCAAAAAGAAATTCCTAAATCTTACAGGAATTTCATTGAAAAATAAAAGCTTCCACATGATATATTTCTAGCTAACCCTCAGATTACATAGCAGAAGGCTACACAAATTGAGCAAACAAACAACTTTTGAAACCACTATGCATGAGTAATAAATCAGATCACACTGACCTTTGTGCCAAAAGGACCAACAGGATGGTTGATTTCCAGAACATCCCTTCCCTGAGGAAAAAGAACAAGAAAATGCCCAAATAAAATAAATGATCACATATTCGTTGCTGAAATGACACTGGAAAGTGAGTATAGATTGTCAATTAGAATTCAACTGAGCTACAATAACCGATAACAAAGTTCCTACCTATCTCATTTTCATTTCCCACATTTTCTCATCAGTCAATCACAGGGTATAATATGTATTAAAAAAAATAGAAAAAGCGTTACCTCAAGTTCAGCTTCAAGCTCCTCTCGCTCGTGGCCAGTGGCAATGGGCATTACCTCCTCAACCTTCTTCACACCAGGTTTTGCTAAGACAAAACACAAAAATAGAAATCACGCTTATCGGAAAAAGATCTGAGAGAGGAAATAGCGTTTGCGATGAGAAGGAAGAGAGTACCAGCATCGGAGGTGGTGCTGAAGTAGCAAGGAAGGAGAGGAAGGGGCTTGTGGAGGAGACAGCGGGCAGGTACCGTGGCCGATCGGCATGGAGCCGAGGCGCTGTTGGCGGCTAGGGTTAGGGCCTTGAGCTGAGATGAAGAGAGCAGTCGCCGCCACATGGTTTGATATTCTCTTTCCTTTTTCTGAGCTGAGTGTGTTCTGATGTCAGACCGCCCCTTTGTTGTTGGAGATGAAGAGATGAGATCTCTTGATTTCTTCTTCTTTTTTCTGTCTGTTTCTCGAGAAAATGGAAATGGGAAATTAGTTTAGGGATGGGAAAATTGTGGGAGGCTGTGTGGGATTTTGGGTTGGGGAGTCAAAGAGGGCTCGGGTTTGTCTGGAGGAGAGGGTGGCGATGATGGGGCCAATGCGGGTAGGGATTTCACCTCGCACTTGGCACTGGCACTGGCAGGTGGGTACGCACGTGCTGAAATTTGCCAATTTTAGATGGCAATTACCTTCGTTTATTTTTCTTTTTACTATGTATTTGGACCATTGTTTGGGTCTCTTAATAATAATTGCGGATTTCAAATCCCACTAACATGCAGTTGGAGCGCGCGTCCTCGTGGGTGATTGTCATATGTTGATGTAATGCGTTTGATGGAATATAACGATACATATGCCCATAAATGGTTGTCAAATATTGATGCAATGCATTTCATAAAATATAATAATACATGAACGATTGAAATTGGCTGTCGTATCACGCATTGATTACCAATGACATTGACTATAGTTGTAATGAAGTGGTGGTACTATGATATTTGTAAATAAAAAGCTGGATTAAATCAACCGGTCAATAAAACGACCAGTTTATGGAATTTTATAGGGTTTGGTCTCTGGTCCTTTTTCGGCTGAACATACAATAATGAGAAAATTTGTAGTCACATATCAACTTCCTGATTCTGGATCACAAAATGGGATGCCATTTTCAATAAGAGAAAATGAGAATTAAATCATTGAAGTTAGAGCATCCAGAATGGAAAAATGGGGTATGATAAGGATAGGTCAAAGAGTTTGATCCCGTAACGTACCAAAAGAAAAACACAAAAGTTCAATCTGCATCAAACTACTTGGCAAAAAGAAAAAAGTCCTGAGCATCAAACTAATTTCAAGGAGAGAATATGTTTCAGCTGCATTTTGAGTTTGCAATATCAGAAAAATATTCAGTCAATAATTAATGGAGCACAAGCAGCTATGTACAATATATGTCTAAAATAACAACAGAGTTGATGATAGAGGAAGGCTGCAATGCGGCAATGCAGAATTACAAAGCATAGGCCACATGATGATGCTGGGGTCATTGAAAGAGACACCAAGTTTAGAAGGCTAGCACCAAATAATCATTAATCATTCTTGATTAAGCATGACCCTGGCTGTCAGCAACTACATTCAGTTGATGTTCCTACAATTAGATGGCTCTACTTGTGCGACTCATTGTGCCATTGACTCACCGCCGTCCATCAGTCCCAGAACTGCCAAGCAAAACAGAAGAGCTTTGGAGTTAGCCATCAGCCAATTAGCTTTCTTTGCCGTTTATTTTCGACCTCTGGCTTTTGGTCTTCCTCCAGTTTCCTCCTCAAGTTTCTTAGATCTTCTGCGCTCACCATGCCACTCATCTTCTGGTTCAATGCATATGCTTCAGCCATTCTCCTCCTGCAATCCTTGCTTGCAGAATCGTGGGCAACCACTGAAATGGAATGGGTGGAAAGTAAGTAAACAAAGTATTACAATGGCATAATTAATCCAGTCAACTAGAGACTGTTTCTAAACTGATTCAAACTTCAGAGCTCAGCACTGTCTTCCACTTATTAGGCCTCTAATATCACCCCACAACCATAAGAACAAAATCTCAGCAAGAGTTGCAGCACGACATTGCATCATTGGTCGGTTCCCAAGCCCAAAATTTCACCTTACATCCCCCAAACATCGCAGAATACTACTCACTCCACATTCGTTCCCAGAAAGGAAAAAATACAGGACTAATTGAACTGTAGTAGAGCATTGTACACATACGCATATACAGAAATGCACAAAAGCATGTACAGACACATTACTCTGCATAACAGAGTAAGACAGACATGTTCCAGGAGTCCATAGTTCAGACATAACCTGTCATATTGACCTCTAGTTTAAGCACTGATCATAACGCATAACAGAAGATTAACTAATACAGACAGAACTGACCTGGCTTTGGATAATCTCTTCCAATTATGCACTTTGCCTTGTTTTGAATGCTTAGAGGAGCCGTCCATGGCTCATAAATGTACTCCTTTGGCATATCTGCTAAACCAAATTTGGTTATACATTTCATGCAAGAGAGTGAACCCAGCACAAAGAACATGATAGAAATGAGGGGAACATAAGCCTACCTCTAAGTACAGGGAGAAAATGTCTAATGTAATCACCATTTGGGTCGTACTTCTTTCCAAACGAGATTGGGGAGTAGATACGGTTATACTGGTTAGAATGGAAATCATTCAAATATAAAAATCTTCATCAAGGGGTCACTTAACGTCAATGCAAAAGCATAAATATTCAGATTCGAATATCATGAATCTGAGCACCCAGATCACATAAAGAAACCTACTTCATTAGCTGTAAGAAAGACCAAATTGTAAACCATAATTTATGCCCTTATAAACATTTATATATAAATTAAACCCAAAAATCATTCACATTTAATGTTAAGAAGAAAGCTAGTCATAAGAATCCCAACTCATTTATCCAAATAAACAAAAATCATCATGATTAGCGTATTGTTATAGATCCATGTTGAAGTCAACAGGGATTGCCAATCATATATCAATCAAGTGCCAAATTGGAAGAACCCATTTGTGGCTTTGAGGCTGAGATGCCACTGATATGCAAATCTATGAGAACTAACAAATGACTAGTGGTAGAAGCTTCAGACCTGGTAGAAAAATGATGAGCACGATAGCCATAGCCAGTTTCCATTATTAATTGCCCAATCTGAATCAATCAGAAGCCTCTCAAAAACATCACGCCCTTTTTCCCAGTGAACAAACTATCAGCAGAAATAATTAGCTTTAGGAAAGACCAATATTAGGAAACTGAAAAAAAAGTTGCTGGTACGGAAGAGTAGTGAAATCCTTACCAGATCACCACGAGTTAAAAAACATGCAACACAGTGTCGTGCTAGATGGTGCATCCAACCCCACTTGCGGAGCTACAACAGATAACATGTATGGGCTTCAAATAGAATGCTAGAGTGAAGATGATATTGAATATAAAGTGCCTGGCTTGATTGGAGCAGCATGAAATTAAATAACCATATCCAAGTAGTAGAAGGATGATATCATGCCACAGACCTAACCTGGGTCATGATGGCATCAATCCAAGGGAATCCTGTTCTAGCCTCCCTCCAAGCCACCAGCAGTTCATCATCATCATTCCAAGGTATCTACACGAATTTTCAGTCAACAAAGGTTTATTACATATATGGTAGCTAACAGATGCGCCATCTACATCAGTTTCATAAAGATCAAGTTTATCTTCTTTTTTTATCAACTCTCACGATATGTGATAAACGTTACTGCTGAAAACTGCAGTTATTTTAACTACTAACAAGAAATATTAAAGATTTGTCGCTGACACACATGCAAAAAAAATAAACTACAGTGCTTCTGATAGATACCCTATCTTCTAGATTTGGCATTCTCTCTCATGCACTTTCATGTATAAATATCAGTTGCCTAAAGACAGTATCCTAATATACGGTAAAAACAATTTCTCAACAATATAGAAAAGGATAAGTGAATTTCTGGAAGCTAATAGAATGCCAACTTACGCCATGAGTTTACCTGCTTGCATATTTTGTTTCCCCTCATCCGATCAAAACTAGGAGTGCCAAATGCCACCGTGTAGAAAAAGTCTCGCCATAACAACTAAACAGGTTGAGACAATCTTTCAAATTGCTACATCTAGAATGAAGAATTCTCCAAGATACAATATAACTGGTTGAGGCTGACTGACCTGTCCAGCAAGAGACACCGGAGGTACTGTATGCGTTTTGACATTTTTATATAAATCTTTAAGGCATATGTAGAAGTATCTGGAAGAGAGACAACCAAACTACCAAAGTGACCAAAAAAATGGTGAACACAATGAAACAAGCAGAGAAAAAATACAGCCAAAATTTCTTTTAATTAAACCCACTTTCAAATAAGGTGATAAAACAGTTGTTGCTGGCTTCAGAAATGCAGATGGATCACCCTTAGGTTTTTCGAATTTGGCCACCCACTCCTACAACACCAATGAAAGAACTGAAAGACTTAAACACCAACATTGCATGCTAATGAGTTGAAACTGAGGCACAGACCAATGTAATTTACAACAAAATCACATGAGTAATAGGCAGCCATGAACCAGGTAAAATTATCAAGATCAAAGGGGAGAATGTTGGTTCATGATAGCAAGAGGCAGCAATATCACAGGTGTAGAGCCTAATAAAACTTCAATACATAATTCTGCCTTGCACCTTGTTTTCAATTGATTCTCTTAACCTCTTCAAGGCTTCTGTTTCACCACCTCTAAAAGGAGACAATTCATCCTGCATAAAAGTGTTTTGTTATAAATAAATAAAAAGAGTACTAACAACAAGTAACAATGCAGAAAACGTTCCTCCAAACCTGTTGAGTCTCTTCATAGCCAAGTTCTTCGACCGTTGGAACTTCTGAAATATTGCAATTTCCAGTATTCCCAACCAGAGGAAGTGAAGAAAGTGTAATAGAAAGTGGGGACGACGCCCATGAGGGCTCTCCAGCAAGCTTCAGAAATGATTGATAACTCAAAGGTGGCTTTCCCCCATTCTTTTTTGACATCCAGTAACATAAACAATAATCAGTAGTAGAGAACAGGGGAAAACAAAACTCAAATTCATCACACAAGCATGTAACAAATATCTCAACCATAAAACAATAACAAACTACTTCATAAACTTACCTTCCGTATAATATCTGCGGGATTGAAGAGTGTGTGACTTACAGGACTGTAAATCTCAATGCCAGCCGTAGAGGCATAGCTCTGTCAAAACAAACAAAACCAAACCTCTTCCTTTTAGCACATCTTTAGTTAACAGTACCTTAAAGTAACCCATTAAGATTTTAGCACGTAATTATATGCTCAAATTAAGTAAGCTCACCATTTTTGTTAAAGGTTCAAGCTTTTCAAACCTAACTTTACATGGGCATCAAAAAATCATTACCAATTACAAGACTCTAAAGCTGCATACCTTGACTTTAACATCTAAAGCTTGATAATATGGTTCTGTATCATACTCAAAGCAGAGCTTTTTCACATCCCACTGCTCCAAACCAAAAACCCAAAATTAAAAAGCTGAAAAATGTAAAGAATTATGAGACTACAAGAAAAGAGAGGGAGAGTTAATTTACCTCCTTCAGGCAACGAATGAGTACCTCGCTGGGCTCGCCTTTGAGCACCAACAATCTGGACCCGAGCCTCTTGAGGTTCAAATCCAAATCCCTAAGGCTCTCGAGCAGAAACTGAATCCGGTTCAGGCCGGCTTTGGATGACCCGGGTGAGAATGCTTCCGGGTCGGGCTTCATGTAATGCGGGTCGATCACGAACACCGGGTAGAGAAAATTGGAGCCTTTGGAGGCGTACTCGAGAGCAGGGTTGTCGTGGATCCTCAGGCCCTTCCGGAACCACATGAGAGAACCCGAACCCGATGACATTGTCGGGTTTGGATACTGAGAGACGATAGAAAGAGAGAGACGAGAGAGGGGGTTTAAACCGTCTGTATGGTTCGCGCGCTTTAATGGTTGATTGGAAGGAAGCGAGGGGTGTCTGGCAAACATGCCCGGTGAGTGTAGGTTAAGGAAGAAATGTGGGCATTTGATAAGCTAATCTACGATTTGCGCATGATGCGTATTTTAGAAGGATGTGCTTCGCCACACATTATAACGGTCAACAAGGCGCCACGTAGGTCTTGTTAAAAAGCGAGACTGGTCCACAGGGTGCCACGTTGTTCATTCTTTTAGTAATTTCAACTCTAATAATTTTATGAAACAATAAAAAATAAAAACTAATATTTCGGGGAGTCAAAAACCCGTAAATTTGAAGATGCATTTTGAATTATTTAATTTATTTATATCTTAAATTTTAATGAATTTTTTTTCGTTTTCAGCAATTCATGAAATAATAAATCAAGGAAAATTCTATGAATATACCAGCTATAAGAAAATAGCTTATGCTGGTCAATATAGTCTGTAATACCAACTTCTCTCACCTCAACCAAAGTTTAACGTAAACTCGGACTAAGACGTTTAATTATAGGATCTAAAAATTCATAACTAAAATGTGAAGAACATTAAAATAATTAAGTAAATATTTCATATAGAACTTTATCGTATGAATTGGCTTAAATATCCAATTGATATTAACTTTTAATATTGTTTACTTGCAAACGAAGTCTTACTACCATTTGATTATGAAGGAAATGTTGCCACCTACAAGAAACTAGGTCTAGTGTGCTCCAAGTAAAGTGGACGTCTATCTATAGTGTGATCAAAGTTGATCACTAACTCTTTAAACTTAATCATTAAATTTTGCATGCATGCAGGAGATGTGAGATGGCAAACAAGATAAAGGCTAGCAAAATAAGATTTTATCTGAATGGAACCAAGCTTCTATCCCATCATTGGTTTGATAGTAGTGGCTACGATCAAAACAAATTTATAACACCAAACTAATCCTTTACTTGGAGGAGTTATCTACGTTACTTGTTCAAAAAAGGTAAGAACAGACTTACTAAATATTAAACTACTACAAAGCATATTATTATTATACACAGAAACATTTAAATATTATTAAGATATGTGAGAGCTAATGTAAAATTTGTAAAATATGATACATATTATCATGAACTATTAATTAAATATGTAATTTCCAAAAATGAGCCATGCAAGTAGGTCTCACAATGTATTAACAGTTCACAATCACTTAATAATAATTTTATATAATGCATTAACCGCTCATAGTCAATCACTCGTGAGCAATGCAAGTGTTAATCGATTCGTGTTGCAAATGAATATCGCAATACATTAATAGCTTATAGTTATTCTCCGGCAAATAGAGAAATGATATTGTCGTTTAGGTCTCCAAATTTTGACGTATAACTAATGTCATATTAGTTTAAGAGAATAGTAGTTTGAACATATTTAAATGGTTAAGAGTATATTGCATGTTCAGATTAATAAGTTTGAGGGTTAGAACATTACATGAACTAATATCAAATTAGTTTTTTTTTTTAAAACAAGTTTGCCAGTTCGAGAACCTCGATCGTTTCATTTGATAAAAAGGATGGGTACATACATATATAGATAAAAACTAGAGCTGGGCATATGGGACCGAAAACCGGCCAAACCGGCCGAACCAAACTGGTCGGTCCGGTTTGGTTTGGTTTGGTTTTCTTCCTTCTCTTTTTGGTCACCGATGCATGAACCGGACCAAACCAGTTGTCATGGTTCTGTGTTCGGTTCCTAATTTTAAAAACCATCGGTTAACCGAACCAAACCGAATATGTTAAATTATATGTAATTAAATAATTATAATACACGTGAATGGTGAATGATGCATATGGTTTACTTTGAAACTTTGGATGGATGTGAATGATGAATGATGCTTATGTTTTAGTTTGAAAGGATTGATTGAATGAATGAATTTGAATATGCTATGATGTGAATGGTGAATGAATTTCAAGCAGGTTTTGAATAAATGTTTGAGTTTGAATGAATTTAGAGTCTAAATGTTTTCAAGCAGGTTTTCACCAAACCAAACCAAACCAAACCGAGGTAACCGAGATGATTGGTTTCCCACCTCATTGGTTCGGCGCATGGTTTGAATTTTCTCCAAACCGATGTTCACGATTCGGCGCACAGTTTGAGCTCAAAACCGAACCAAATCAAACCGAGCCCACCCCTAATAAAAACTCATATAACCAAACTCGTATTAAACATCTACCTCCGCTATTACAAGAAAGTAATAAAAAAACCATAAAACCCCCTGTATAACATAAACATATATAATTTAATCAGCTAACAAACCAAAAGCAACCACGTAAATTCCCCTCTCAGGCATTTCATCAAACACTTCGTCTGCGAACGCTGAGCAACTTCACGTCATCGATCACCGGACCACACAGAGACCCAGAGTGGTCAGCTGACATGGTGTAAAAGGAGCTGAGGAACATGACCCTGGTGTGCGTCTCCACGGCAGTGAACAAGAGCCTCGCGCGCTTGAACCCACCTTTGCCCATGGACTCGTACGGGACCTTGAGAGTGTCTTTGCCGGCAAACGCCTCCACGACCAGCGACCCTTCGCAGGAGTTTTTGGAGTCTCCGACGGAAAATGTGAGGGCGTAGAGGCGGCCGGGCTTGGTGAAGACGACTTGGGCTAAGGCGCTTTCTTTGCCGGCGACGAGCTCGATGGCTCTTTGGCCCTCCGGGACGGCGAAGTGATTTGAGTCAATGTACTTGACGGCCTTGAGCGATTCGATTATCCAGCCTGGTAGTGGGCTGTGGTCGTCTTCTATGTGGGGTGGGATTAGGACCCCCCACGATGTATTGGGGAACACATAGGGCCCTTCTTCAAAGTCGCCATTTTTCAACAAGTTGGCTGCGAAAGGAAAAATAAACAAAGTGGGTCATAATAAATCAAAAGAAATATGAGAAATATGTGACTATATTTTCTTACCTCTAGTGCGTTTAGGAGGAGCCAAGACCTTCAAAGCAACAGAATCAATAAGAGGGCCACAAGCTGCATCATCCTCCGCACCTGGGTTATGGATCCTAAACTCAAGCTCATCAGAGTCTGCATTAAAACCCCATGCATAAGAATCCCATCCATTGCTGCTGTACATGGTCTGGATGGGGAAGATCCCCCAGTCATTCTTCTCAAGGTTGGGGTTGATTGAGAGGTTCAATGTCTCCTCCTGTCCACACGTTCGAGCTGCACTGAATGTGACAGAGTAAAACCTGCCTTTTGTGACCTTGATCTTCTGCTTGATCGAGGCCTCTTTGCCGAGCCTCACTGCAAAACCACCCTCAGGCACAACCAGCAACATGTCACCTTGTTTTTGCCCTGATTTTATGTACTCAACGTAGCCTGAGACTTCCCAGTTGGGAATGGCATTAGGCTGGGTCACTACTGTGCCTTTGAGGTCTGATTTCTTTGGGCCGTACTCGAAGTTGCCGTTCGGTAATAAGCCTGAAATAAATAGGGTAACTGTTCATATGTATGCATTCGTTTATAAAGTTAATTGATGTCATGCACCTGAGATCCTATATTCGAATTTTTCCGTCTCTAATATATTATAAAATTAAAATAAAATAATTGATGCCACGTGATCATCATGTGTTGTGTCGACCGACCATGTGATGTGATGACTAAAGAGATACATGGGTTATGGGCTAGCTACATGTACCAATTAATAGATGCGAGGCAAGGGACTTATGTATCTCATAATTCAGCCAGATCCATAACATGGCTTACACAATCCCCTTCTAGCTTGAGTTAGGTGACAAAATTTGACATGTTACTGGGTTTTTGGACTTTTTGACACTGCCAATAATATACCATCACAAAGATATTATTATTGGCATTTAGCCAGCTCATTTTAGCTTGCTTTCTACTAGTTTCTAAACCCAATCAAATAAAATAAGTTGTGTTATGGTCATTGGGGAATGTGCAATACCATCACCTATTTGGCCAACACTAAAAAAAATAATCTAAAACTATATTTGTTAGTTACATAGTTGATTTTATTTCTCGAAAAAATACGGTGTGTATTCATTGCACCTTAAATTAGTATTTTATTATTTCAAAATACCCACTTGAGGAGGCCCAAAATAAATTCGAACCCTAAGAGATTAGTAAATGTATTCATATTCAAGTGAAGCTCTTATGATAGAAAGTGATAGACAATAATATATATGGCACATGTAGCAGCACAGCTATAAAAGATTTGGTTGTCACATGGTGATGAGCTTAATGATAAATAATTTATCAAATTAAGGTGGTCCACATATTTGGGTGTTGATCAAATCTGTCAATGTCCTGTGGGGACAAAATCCTTATCTAGCAATTGTCTAGTGCCCAAAATTAGAGAGTGTTAGGGCTCGTTTGGGAGTGGTTTTGGCCCTTCGAGAATCATTTATATGTAGAAGTACTTCCCACTTAAAGTGATTATATGAAGAAGTGATTATTGCTCTATCCGAAATCATTTTCAAACGAGCCCTTATATAAAACGGGTCGTATCAGATAAGTTCTACTCTCGAGTAGCGGATTTGAACTAAGCACATGAACTAAATGCAAATTTAAATACTATAGCTCTTGACAATAAAAAAAAAAGTCTTTAAGCTTTAAATACTAGATAGCTAAGCGATGAGATTGTATGATGGGCAAAATCCTAAAAAATATCCAAGAATCTATACTCGATGTGATCATGCAAAATACCAAACACATGCAAGAAACTGTGTGACATGTATGTCAACCTTTCGAGCATATAACAGGTTTGTGGAAGGGTATTTTGGTCATCAATGAATTAAATATAGCTTCAGAATACGATGAAAACGATAGTACCGCCAGCTAGATTTTCATGTGCAAAAAAGATATGGCAAGTCTTCTTATTTTATACAAACCGATATTGAATGAGGGATAATCAAACCTATAATCTCGAGTGCAGGTACATACTCTTAACTATTTGAGCTACAAACTCGTACTTTTTTCTCGCTAAAGTAGATAAAATATTTGAAATTAGAACATTTTTCGATATTTAAAAGTGAAATGCAAGTATAATAACTGAATTGGCAAAAATTTTGAGTTAAAATAGCCGGAAATGCATGGGAGAGAAATATGCATATGCCCCCACAAAGACTTTTTCTTGAGCAATGACATTTTCATACAAAAGCAGAAGTATATTATTATAGGACCAGACCAGACTAGTAAGAAATATATTAATGAAAACAACCTCTTCATGGAGCTGAAGAGGATCTGAATTTGTTACAGAGACCAAGATCAATTAAAAACAGCCGATCTTCAATATTTATGGCAGCCACCTCTACGTATGAACTCTAAGAAACTACGAAACAAAACAAACACCAAAAAGAAAAAACTACAATATCAAGTAGATCGATGAGGCTGCTACATGATATTTGTACGTGTTTGAGGTTACCAATTTCAAAAACACATATATATTTTCCAGGATGATCTCATTTACGGAAAAAATGAGAGCACCTTTCTAAAAACTAACTACACTTCAATGATCGGAACCGTCTATAATAATAGGTGATCAAAAACCGTAGCTAGAATTACGAGAGCTTACCATCTGTGTCGAGTGATAAGGTTGTGTGGCAATTAGCTGCACACAAGAGAACTAACAGCAGGGTGCTGAGCTTGTTATACATGGTGGCTCGGAGCCAGAGAGAGAGAGAGTCAGAGAATTAGAGAGAGTGTTTTTTTTTTTGTGTGTGAGAGAGAGGGAGAGAGGGTTCGAAGGTTAATTGGGTTTGAGATCAGAAGGGAGTGAGCAGTGGTTTATATACTGCTTGGTGTTGTGAGAGTGCCACTGAAGTTGGACTAAACCACATGAATGCCATTGTTGGAAATTTTGGAACTATATAATATAATCCTTAGCTAAGCATCACCTTCCTCGAAACTCAAAATCTTTATATTACGAAACTCTTGTTTTATTTGGTCCAAAGAAAACCTACCGGCTAGGGCAATCTTGCACAAAGAGACAAGCATCAAACCAGACAGACACAAAATTTTTATAGTTCTCTACCATTAGTAGGTGTTACGATTATTTGTGATTGATTGGTTGGGATCAGATTTAGAAAGCCAAAAAAAAAAAAGGGGAAGATTGGTTGGAAAAATCTAAATCCAAGAGTATCCCAATATAAGTCACCGATGAAATTTTCTTTCTCAGTTAATAGGAGAGCGTGATGAAATGAGTTAAAATTAAGATAGTTTACGATATTTTTTTTTGATGTAATAATAATAACGAATCAAATCGCATTACGTATTTATAAAACAGTAGCGACGTTCAAATAAACACCTAGGTTCAAACACATTTTTTGGCCAAAATTCGATCTAATTTTTAACCAATCATGTGAGAAATGAACACTTATCCACATAAAAAGTTAATGATAATAATAATAAACTCTTGTTGAGTGTAACCACAGATGTTGTTCTGGCAATATTAATTCCATAGCTCAAAGAATTTAGGAATTTCTTGGTTAAAGTAAACTACTGACACGTACTATTAATTAAGAATGCGAATAATATTTTTGCCTGAAATCACTCAAAGATTTAGAAAATTCCGATCCTTAACTTGGGATTTCAGGCACAATCTTCCGGGGGAGGCTCTAGTCTCTAGACAAGCAATTCAAAATCCATGTGTATGGCAAATGAATTTGCTTATACGATGTCGGTTTGAGGGTGACTCGTATATAAAACTATATGATATATGATCCCAAACCAACTTTGAATCTTAGCATGCAAAGCCACATGGCTGCGGTGGAAACGGTTCATGTTTTGGTATTTAGAGAATTTGGATGGACCTTCACAGAAGGTGACTGCAGTATAAAAAGACTAAATTACCCTTCATCCATCATATGGATTTAAGCAGTTACGCTTGTACCTAAGGTCATGACTATAGACAAAAAGACCAAATTACCCTTCATTCGTTATATGGATTTGACCAAACTCATGCATCTGACATCCTGTTCGAATCCCTCCTCTCCAATATATCGCTTATATAAAAAGGAAAAAAAATAAAATAAAATCAGACCCATTATTTGTTTTTCTTTTTAAATTTGTAGCTCGTGGGAACAATAGAAAAACATCATAATCAAACAATGCCCCTTACATAATCAATCAAAATTCAAGAGGGTTTTGGGAAATCTTTTAATTCATCAGATCTTGTATATCCTTTTGGCAAGTGGAAACCCATGTGCAAAATGGCATCTTGATTGAGTGTGTTTTCATTTTCTTAGTGCAATTACCAGTCAAAATATTACTTTATCAGTTTTCCTTTTGCTTCTGTTCTTCTGTGGTCGGCAATAATTTTCTAGTTTATTATGGCATCTGTTGGATGGTGAAGGTTGGGAGAGGAGGACGTGCAATATGGATGGGCATAAATGACTATATGTGGGCAAGTTTGGGGTACAATCAACATGGATGCATGTGTAGTGAAGCGTGTTACAATCAACTCAAATGATCAGGCTGTATGTGGTGAAGTAGACTGAAGGAGACTTGTGATTCGAGCTCAAACAACTGTATTGTTAAGAAAATGTAGGACAATGGCCTTCTCAAAATATTAGGTTTGTAAGTTTTCGTACTATTAGTGTCAATCTCCAATCTAAAACTCAAAATAAAAAATTTGGGTCCAAATTGATGGAGGGTAAAACGTTTATTTTTTTTGCTCCGATGTTTTGGATTAAATTTTTTTAGGCCGTCTCTATGTTCTCTTAGCGTACGAGTAGTATTCTTTTGACTTCAATAGTTGGGTTTGGTCATACGACCTAGGGAAAATACTATGAAGACCATATTATTATATCACATTGTGTATCAGCCCCTCTAATAAAATGACCTACTTGTATTAGTGACCCTACCTCTGTTTGTGATGTGGTACAATAACATAGTCTTCCTAGCATCACTCAAATCGTAGATATAGGTTTGGTAACTTATTTTGAGGTGTTTGACTCCAAACTCTTCGGGCTATTGAAGAGTGATTTTGACTCAAATCTCCATTTGGGTTTATGGTGTTTGAGTATGGATTGATGATGATGGCCTAGTAAGATTAGATAACAGATGTCACTTATGGACTTGAAGATAACAATAACACCTCAAGCTAGCTTAGGTGTATATGCATAGAAAAACTTGCATGAAACAGAGATATCACCTTTTTACTATTTAAGGCCAATCACAGACTGACACATGAAAAAGTGATCACGCATGCATAACGTGATTGATTGGGAATGACAAAATAATGTTATTCTCGTTTCATGTAAGCAGCGGCGGACCTAGGAATTTTTCAGCGGAGGTGAAATTCTTAAAAGCTAAAAGCTCATAAAAAAGAAAAAGAAAAAAGTGACAACTAAATATCTTTATAATTTAAACAAAATAACTGTATAATTAAAACAAAATAAGGGTTTTTAATTGGTTTTTTATAAAGAAAATTATCAATCCTACTTAAATAAGGAGTTCTCAAAACCCAATTGAATAAAGAGAAGTTCCAATTAAAACCCAATTCGGTAGGAATTATAAGCCCTTTAGAAGCCCACGAATGGCCTAGCAGTTTCTCTTTTTTTTATTTAAATTTTTTAAAATTTTAATTTTTAATGAAAAAAAAGGAGGTCGCGCTGCGCTAAGCGCAGCAGCACAGTAGCGCATTTCATCGAACAGCTTCCGTGCATAAGCAGAAATGCAACTTCAGTTGTTTTTATGGAGTTTTCCATCGATCGGAGGTGTAGGTGCACTTCCTTGAACCTACACAGGTCCGCCAATGCATGTAAGTGTTTCTCGTATATAAGGCATGGACATGCAGTTATGATGGGCCTTAATGTAATTGGGCCAATGGGCCACCAATGGTCCTTAGCATAAGAACTCTCCAAAATAATTGTTTGACTTTACCTCAAATGTCACATTGTCTATATGTCCCCATCTTCACTGTGGATTTCGGTGGACAATATTGATACAAAAATAAATAAAATGTCGGAAACGTGCCATAAAACATGTAAATTGTGTGTCAAATTTATGCAAACTCCGAAACCAACCAATAATGCATCAAGTGTAACACATAAACTTTGTTATGAAGTTTATTTTTGAGCTTTTCACAAATGAACTTATTTGTAAAAATTTATTTAACCAAATTTGCATAAAATGCAGCGTTATGTACAACGGCGACACTACACTAACGAGACTTTGAATCTTAAATACAATGTGTAGAATACATTTTCTTTGTTCAGACTCCATTTTGTTTTTTTTTTCTGGTCGGTATATTAAGAATAATGTTATTCTTACCATATTTGTATACCACTTCTTTATACCATCTTATGTGGCAGCTGAGGTGGACAACCGCGTTAATTAAAATTATTTAATACTTTATTTTATTTTATGATTTATTCCCGTATTTCTTTTTGTAATTGCCTTAATTAAAATACACTTCATTGATTTAATTGATGTGACATATAATATAGACGTGCCACATCATGTGGTATAGAATTGTGGGATAAAAATGTCGTAAGTGTAGCATTACTCATTATATCAAGAGTAATGCTACACTTACCACATTTATATCCCACATTTTCATACCACCTTATGTGGCAGATGAAGTGGGCCAACACATAAATTAAAAAGTGTTAATAAATCATAAAAGATAAGAAAACTTTAAATTAATTTTAATTGATGTGTTGTCCAGCTCATATGCCACATAAGGTGGTATGAGAATGTGGTATACAAATGTAGTAAGAGTAGCATTATTCTTATATCAAATATTGTATCACTTGTTGACATATCTCCAAAATTCGTAAAAAAATATTGCTTCCTCTCCTTTTAATTATCAGCAACCCCATTTTACTTATTCCGTTAATATTGGAGATATTTAAAAACTTCCAGCATTTCACTTGTAAAATATAAATACTCTAAATCGTTTGAGCTACAAACTTTTTGCGTTTATCTAAATTGTAAAAACTTTCGGTTTTTCACTTGTAAAATATAAATGCTCTCAACTGCTTGAGCTACAAACTCTTTGCGTCCATCTAAAAAACCTAATTAAATATAAGCAAATTTTAGTAGACTTCACCGTAAAAAATCTTTCAAAATCTCACTTCAATAATTTAACACACACATTGACTTTAAAATCCCTTACTACAAAGATCTGATGCTTTCCAATATTTTCACAGAATCATCAAAATTGAACTTCAAAAATTGTGACGGAGGAAGAAGTTTCCAATCATCAAATTCAACATTAATTTCCATTACCATCCAGATCCAACAAAAAACTTATAAAACTAAAAATAAAAATAAATAAAAAAGAGAGAGAAAAGATCCAAGATCCAAGATCCGAGTTCCAAATTACGAAATCACAAAATCAATATATTTTCTGATTTTCATTTCGACAAATTTCAATATGCCAAGTGGCTACATTGCCAAAGGCAAGGACTAAGTAAGTAGAAGCCATCCTAATCTCGCCGAAGAACATCAACCGCCGGCGCTCCGGCATCCCCATCTTCTTCTCTTTTCGCTACTGGTCCGATAAATAAGAGGCGAGCCG